ACAAAAATCATTACAAAAAAACATTCAAAAAGATTTTCGTAATGACTTTTTGTAATTATTATTGCATTTATCAAATGCGCTTGATATCAATTAATATTTTATCCCAGCAAATGAGGATTAAAATGGATTGAAATTTTTTTTTATCCGAATACGTATTTTAAATAGCGAATACTTCTTTTTGGATTTAATTGTGGATTCAATTGGATTCAATTAGATTCAATTAGATGCAATTGGATTGAAAAGCTGCATTTCCTATTCAAAATTTTGAATTGAACAGTGTTCACAATGCACACAGAAAAAGCTAATATTATTTTTAGATTGAAAAGCATAGAGCAGTGCTCGCAAAGATTTGTACATTTCGAGTATGCAAATCTTTTTTGCCGATTCCGACGTGTTATCACACTACCGCTCGAGGCTCGGCGGTCGAGCGCCCGCCGGGCGCTCACGTGACGTTCTGGCTCAGGAACGTCTCTGTAGCTTAAACATGCGGAGATCGTACTTTACGTTATTAAAGAATATTTTGTTTGTAAAATAATTTTTATGTTTTTAGAAAAAATCAAATACTAAATTTTCTGAAACATTTTATCAATAACCAATACATTTTGTCATAATAATTCTTGCCTACCAGAAACCAGTTAATAATTGTAAATTTATATCGAGAAGTTTCTATAACAGACTTGCAAAGATTGAAGTCAGAAATATGTGAATCTGGAATTCCGTGTTTTTCATACAAAATCTTATAATTATCATTTTAATTAAAATGATAAAATTATATTCACTTATAGAAGAAAATAGTTATTACGATATAAAATCTTTGTTACTTGATGAGACTTTGTAAGATTTCATATGGAAAACACGGAATTTCCAGATTCACGTATTTCCTGACTTAAACTTTCGCAAGTCTGTTACAGAAACATCTCGATGTAAATTTATAACAATTATTGAATGGTTTCTGGTAGACAAGAATTATTATGAAAAATTTATTAGTTATTCTGGAAACTTCTCGATGTAAATTTATAACAATTATTGAATAATTTCTGGTAGGCAAGAATTATTATGACAAAATATTTTAGAAAATTTAGTATTTGATTTTAAAAAAAAATAAAAATTATTTTGCAAGAAAAATATTCTTTAATAACATAAGGTATAACCTCCGCACATTTAAGCTACAGAGACACTCCTGAATCAGAGCGTCATGTAAGCGTCTGGCGGCCGCCGAGCCTCGAGCAATAATGGGGGTAGCGCCCTGGAATCGAAATTTTTGCGAGCACTGGCATAGAGACATGCAATTCTTATAAATGAATAAAAATACATTCAAGATTGAAAAGCATTCATTTTAACATTCGTGAATCAATATTTCTGAAAATCTGAATCCATTTCAATTCATTTTAATCCATTTTCGTTTGCTGGGATTTTAAATATTTTTTTATAACTATCATCCAATAAAAATAACTTATAATTAATCTCAGCTGTATGTTATAACATAAATATAAATTTAAACATGTATATTATTATAAATATATGCGTATGATGTATGTATCGGTGAGCTATTTTATTTTTGAGAATAAAATCCTAGGTTCGTGTAATTCCATCATATTTAAAATTTTTAATACAATGAAAAAATGATAAATATAATACAATATAAATAACAAAATAATTTCCGTTGCTTCATTACTTTTCCATAATTACAATAATATATATACGTACTGAATGGAATCGTTTTGCATTCTATTACTCCCATTGAGTTATTCTCCAATGAGTTTGTTTCTTTGGCAAAAGGAAAATGTCTCAATGAAAATTTTAACTTCCATTGGGCAATCCTTCAATGATAAACAAATATTTTCATAAATAAATGGAAAAATAAATGGAAATATCACGTTTCCTTTGCCCAAGGGAAAATTAACTTCAATGGAGATAACATTTTGCTATAAACATTGCAAATATCCGAATGGTAAAGTTAAGTTACCATCGACCAGTAATAATATCTCAACGGAAATATAAAATTCTCATTGACAAATGGAAAATTGTCATTGACAAAGGAAAAAGCAAATTTTCATTCAATTCCGAATTGAAATTTACCATTGACGTTCAAGGAGAATTTTTGCTAAGGATAAACGTATAAAAATTCTAATAATAAATAAAATTTCGAAAATGAGATGATTAATATATCTATAATGGTAATGCCAATATAATTTTATAATAATTCCGGCAACACACATCGAGTGCTAAATTTCCGTAATTTCCGGCAAATATTGTTTTCTCAGCTATTTGGATAGAGTGTTGTACTCTTGTCAGTCCTTCAGGTACGTTATATATAATATACGTATGTGTGCAGTGGAAATATACGGAAATAATTAATCAAGGTTCCTAAATTGCATAAAAAATAATGATTTCCAAAATACTGGATAGTTTCAAGCTTCGCCTCCTACAGTACACTTATAAAAATTGATCGGCGCTCACTGTGTTAAAAAGCCTTTATATATTGTGCAATTTTTAAAATATAATAATTTTTTTATCTGTTAAATAAAGTTATTCAATATTTTTCTTACAGTTGTCAATTTAAAATTTTTAAAGTTTGAAGCATAACATGTTGAATTATTTTTCCTAAAATTGTTTGTTTAAAAACATACAAATAACTGTAATAATATATTAGAATATATTGGTTGTCCTAATACATTTAATGATAAAGTTTATTTTAATATTAAAAGAACTAAAACTGTTTTTCAAACGTGATATTTGTTGTGATTACTTTAAATTTCGAGTACAATTACAGAATATTTTGGGAAAACACTCGTGTTGATATCTTTAGTATATTCTTTTTCCCAAATTTTGAAAACTTTATAATTAAAACAAAATAAAATATCGCAATTATTAAATTAACATAACATTTAAAGTGATATCTTTTAAGTATCATTACATTTTTTTTATATAATATTTATTTTGATTTTTTTTAATATATATTTTCTTTAAATGTTAAAATTAATACTTTACAGTTAAAATGAAATAAAAACAAGCCTATATTTAGCCTAATTATTCGATTACAAAATTATTCAATTAATCTTATTTTTATTATTAGGTGTTGGAATTAATTCGTAGCGTTTTACAAGTGATGGGAAGTACTTTCATTAATGTATTTTTTAATGCTCATGTGAAATAAATAACATTCTTTCATTAAAAACGCTACGAATTAATTCCAACACCTAATAAATTAGTCTTATTTTCATTACAAAATTAAAACTGGATATTTTAATAATTTTATATTACTTTTTATTAATAATACATTAGCTATAGTCAATTATTAATATAATTATTATTAAAAAATGCAATTACATAAGAAAAAACTGAATAAATAAACTATATATGTTCATTTTTACATTTTTTTTAACTATACGTTTTTAAAAATGTGAAATAATTAGTCAGAAACGTCAAGAATTGAAGAGACCATCTCTCGTAACACATTTGACGAAAACATGCATCAATTGCAATCAATCTATTCATAAGGAAATAGCTGCAAAGAAAATCCTACTTGCTTGAAATCAAATGTATTAACGTAAACTAGAAGTAATAGTTGCCTGGATTTGCAATGCCATTAATGACATACACAGATATGGCGATTTACTCCGTAAGTAAATGGTCATGTATTTCCAACATTTGATCTCTAATATCTCGAGAACTGTCCATTTTGATCATGTCATGCCGATAAGGACTTCTGATGAGAACATCATGGACTATATCATAGTAAAATTTCAATCAATTCTACTGAAACTCATTTTCTATAAGATTTGTGCGATTTGGGAGTTCTCATATTTATTAGATTTTGTCTTAAGTTTTCTCTACAGTAAGTTTTAATATACATACAACACAGATCTCACAGAAATATTCCAAAGCTATATAAAAGTCACTGTATCCTAAGGACGTTCTTATCTTATCTTCTTAGATGTTTCTCGGATAAAGTGCTGTGCGGGATATTTTTTTAAGATTTTGTAAAATAAATTTTTCTCAAAAAAGTGCATATGAAGATCACCTTGATGCAAAGGCGTTTGTTGTCCAAAAAGACGAGAGATATTTTCTTTTTCTTTCTTTATACTCTCTAAATCTTTTGGAGTGAAAATGATGAATTGAGCTAATTTTGAAAAAAAAAATTGAAAATTTTTTACTCTTGAACAAGAATTGCAGAAATTTTCCCTCTTTTGAAATCAGATTCACTCCAAAGAAATAAAATCTCATTCCTTTTTTTTGGAATGAGACTTCTTTCCTTGAAGTAACTTATCCAAAAGAATAAAATCTTACTCCAAAAAAGGAGTGAAAATCTGCCACTCTTCTTCAAGAGTGAAAATATTTTCAGTCTGTTTTCAAGATTGACGGCTCAATTTTCATTCTTTTGGAGTAAGATTTCACTCCAAAAAATTTAGAGAGTACTTATATAAATAGTGGTTGTATCATTGTAGTTTTCGTAACTTCAGGGAAAAGGCTATGCAAGACATATACGACGCAAGAAGAAATCGAAACATACGAAAGCAGACGCGAAATTCATCTTCTTATTCTTATTTTTCTTATTATTTTATTTCAGATGCCGTCTGAAATGGCGATTTTTTCGGCGTCGCAAACTATTATATAATATAAGAATAATTTAATTCGACGGAGCGGCATTTTAATCAGTCTTCTTCCTTTCGAAGACACGCTTGGAAATGAAATCCTTTGTAAGACTATAACTGAAACAAGCATGATTCGTAGATTCGTGTACTTAGTTGCGTAAGACTATAGGTCTGCGAGTAAAATCCACGTGTAAAGATGCGTACGTGCGTGCGTGCGTGCGTGTGTGTGTGTGTGTGTGTGTGTGTGTGTGTGTGCACATGCGCGCGCGCGTATGAGTGTGTGTATTTATGTGTATACGATTCGCTAAGAAAATAAATGCGAAAGCATCAAGTCGATTCGGCATAGTACTTTCCCAGTCTACGACGACCGGTTCACCCGACTGAGCATGGCTGAATCCAATGCCGAGCACCACGGCTGAAACAGTTCCAGCCACGAACTCACGTCGCATTCGTTCACCAACCGTTTCTTCTCGCGGTAAGAGCAGCGGGCGATCGATAATCCTGGGCCTTCGATCCGATTGTAACGCACGTCTCACGCTCATTGTCGCGTCTCTTTCTTGATCCCTCGATCGTGAATGAGTGCGTGTACGGCCACCGAGGTGTGTACTACGAAACGCAACGGTAAGAAGTGATAAGCATAAACGTGCATAATTTTGTTGCAAATAAACCGGAATCGAATTTTAGGAAACATTTCTCCATAAGGACGTTTTTTTTTATTGCCTATTTTACAGACAGTTAATTTTTTTATACTGTTTAAGTAAAGTTACACGCGCTTTCATATTAAAATTTCACGCGAGTGAAAATAAACGCCCTCGATACAATGCCTACGTTAAATTAAATTTGCATCGTGTTCTTATAAACGAGTGTTACATGTAAATCACGTTCAAGAACATTCCGATATTTCAATGTTACGTACATAAGATCGAAAAAAACACCGATACTCAGAATAAAATTATATAATTATCCGTGTATCATAAAGTATATCACATATAATATAATATGCTAATTTATAATGCAAGCTATAGAAAAAGTCTCAGCTTTTTGTGACTGTCTCAAGAAAACGTGGTTGATTGATTCAATAATGTGCTGTTCTAACCTGCTGTTTGAGACACCACATATCTAACAAAATTTAGAAATATCGTAAGTTTAAGTCATATACTTTCAATAAATGTGCTGTAATTTCAAAATATTTGAGCTATTATTTTCATTTTATTTTTTCGTTAATATCATCATTTTTACATTAATTTTATCAGCAATTTATACAAAAATGAAATTTTATTTATGAAAATGAAATCTTTTTTCTTTATTTGAAAAAAAATATTGTTTTTAATTAAAAATACGTAGTATTTTCTAAATTTAGATTTTATATATATTAGGTCGTGTAGGTCGGGGAAAAAGTTTCTTTGTATTTAAAAAAATTTTTTGTAAAAGTTTTTCATTTGTTGCAAAATTTTCGTTACAATTATATTATTCATTAGAGCAAAGTTTTAGCTTTAAGAATCTGTTTTTTAAATTGCGGTGGGAGGATATTTATCGGAGTTACGAGCAATCAAAGTTAGAATGCTCCTTTACTTAATTCGCGAATAACTTAGTAACAAAAAATCATAGGAACATTTTTAAAAAATGATTTTGTAGGAAAAGCTTCGAGCTTTCACGATAAGTAGTCGAAAATTTTTGTAAATTTTTTTTGGACATTATTTGTGAAAAAATAGATATATATAAATTTGCTCTCTCTCTTCTCTCTCTCTCTCTCTCTCTCTCTCTCTCTCTCTCTCTCTCTCTCATTAAAGCTTTTAAATCAAATTTCTTGAATTAAAGATTTTATTCTTTAATTATACTATTCTTTCAAATTCGTTAAAAAACATTTCTTTCATTAAAGAAATACAAAAATTTTGAATATTATATGTATTTTTTAAATTAAAGACACATTTTTTTGATATTATATGAATGTATTTGAGTAGTAAGTTCTTATGTAATTAGTATTTTTCAATAAACATAATACATTGATAAAAATACTTGTGTAAAAAAGAATATTATACCTATTACTTATTATACCTATTACTTATTTAATCAAAACGTTTCTATGATATTTCCATACAGCGAACATCATATTATATTTAGAGGCAAAATATTTAATTTCTTCAATAGAAGTCCTGCTTTTAATAAAAAAAAATATCCAAAATTTATAGAACAAAATACGATAATTTCAAATCATGTAAATAAATATATTTTAGAATTATAAAAAAAAAATATATAATATCAAATATTTTCTTCTATCAAAATCATAAAAAAATATATAATAATCTATTTTTCCTATGATGGTTCGTATTGTTGCTGAAGATGATTCAAATGTTACGAAATCGAAATGTTCAACAATTTTGATTAAATGCCATTTTTGCGTGAATGAAGTTAATTAGCTCTCTTAATTAGCGCGTTAATTACTATGCCTACATTCTTATTAGCTTTCGATTTCATGTTTTATCATTTGTTATTTTTTTTACATTATTTTATTCGAGAATCTTTTGGAATTTTTCCTAGTTTTTTTATTTCTATAATTTTCAGTTCATCAATAATTTCATGTTTCTTGATAATAAGAAAATTCAATTCGATCGAATTAAGTAACTAGTTTTGCAAAGTTTTCGCAAAGTGAGTTTTGCATACAATATACATATGTATATCTGCCATCCGGTAATTATTAGTCTTGAGGAATTTATTTCTATTATTTGCTATGGAAGTGACTATTGTTTGCAATTACCGGGAAGTTATAAATATTCAATATACACCGAGTTGCGAAAATGCGATTCGAATTTGATAACTATGATATTTTTCCTGACTTGATTGTGTGCAGTTGCGCAATACTTAATTAGCCTATAAGGTGAAACGAGCGCGTCTGTCGGTCATACAACCGGTATATGTATAATTATGCATCGCGCAATACGCTCTAGATAACTTTCCGTTCCGTATAATGTGAATATAATCATCTCTTTTGTTCAATATACGCATGAAGATTTGTAATATGAGGAAATTTGTAATATGATATCGCTAATTACGTATAATTATTTGCAAAATGGTTTTTTGCATTTTAGAGAAACTTTCGAAGGATCGTACTCGCTCAGTCACGATGGAGCAAAGTAAAACAGAGGACGTCGCGCCGGACAGAGTAGCCGAGATTCTTGCTGGCCGCAAGATACTAGTAACAGGTGGCACAGGATTTTTAGGAAAAGTATTAATCGAGAAGATTCTGCGGTGCCTGCCCGATGTAGAGCATATCTACATGCTCGTGAGACCGAAGAAGGGTAAAGATCCCAAGCAACGGCTGGACGAAATATTCAATTCTCCGGTAAGCTCCAAGGACACTTTAAAAAAGAAATTCTTTATACTTTCTAAAAGAGTTGGCTAAAAAGGTGCACGAAATATCACGTCAGTTATACAAAAAAAAAAAAAAGAATTATCTTGTTGATCAATTAATTGTGCGGCACGATTACGTTCAGACATGTACGCGTTCCTGGTGATCTAGCCTACTTCATCTAATACCCGGAAAACTTCGCGTTCCACCTTGGTCTCTCTCGAGCTGAGGCACCAAAAAGAGAAAGTGCGTGACTATGACTTTGCTATTGCGCGTTACGAGTTGCATCATTGTTGCTATACGACGATAGCACGAGGTGCAGCTGAGAATGTTCACGCTTAACAACGTGTGTTTCCTCTCGCATCGCGCGCTTTGGATATTTCTTAAATGAAATTCACCAGTGAAAGTGTAACAAACCGGACAGCATCAATCCGGATTGCAACCGAACCATCTATGTGATGAAAGAAAACGAGTCAAGGCCCCGACTTGAAAATATTGCGAGGGAAGAGATGGTGATTATTGGTATCGCGCGTTTCTGCTGGTCTCGGTGAAAGTACGGATTGCGCATTTCGCGTAGCGTGTTATGTCACGTCTTTCAAATTTTAACGCAATACCATAAACATACTGCGTTATATGTATGCATACGCGCGTGTCTGTTCGATAAAATTTCTATACATTAGACATCATTATATGTTTTTCCGGATAATAACTGTTTCATCCGAAAGAGAAAGAGAGAGAAAGAGAGAGAGAGAAACGGTTATTATAAAAATCTTTTTCATAGTTACAATCAGAAGTATTTAAATACAACAAACTATTAGACTTTGTTAATTTAAAAATTTGACTAATGCTAACAGGATTGTGCGTAAATTTTAAGATTACATTTATATAAAATATTTACATATTGCTTACATTAAGTTTACACGAATTTATTTGTTATAGACAATATAAGTAATATGTAAATTATTATAAATTGGACAATACAATACAGAAAAAAGTAATTAAGTTTCAAAATTGTTAAATATAATATATATCTGATTTTTAAAAAGTAAAAAGGCTCAATTAATAGAACAAGATAGGATTACGAGGTCTTTAATGCTAAAAAGTTAAATAATAGCAATGAAAATAAATTTTTAAATAAACATTTCAATCCTAATTGAGTCATTCTCAATGTTAACATCAATTACAATTTCAAAAGTTAAAATCGATACATAATTAAAATATAATGTGATCATAATTTTTTACAATAAAAATTTAGATAAAATTTTTTTAATGTACTTTTTTTCCTAAATCTAAATAGTCTACACCTATTAGCTCGCGAAATTAATAGAGGCATGTCATCAATTCATCACGGAATGTTGTACATAACATAAAGTCAATATAAAAATCAATTATTCAAACAGGAGTCGATAAAAATCGACATTACAATCTGGCATCACAATAAAATGTGACACAATTAAACTAAAACTGGCTGTAATTTTAAAACAAATCGCAAAATTTTTATTAGTCCATTTTTGTTAGAATCCAAATATTATATAAATTATACGCAAAGCAAATCCTGCACAAAAAAAACTCAAGATCGCGGTTATCGATTTTCACACGATACGTTACTTTAAATATCTGATTTTAATATTATAAAAAAATATAAACGAGAACGGAAGCAATGAGGAAGAATATAGGCTTTGATAAGTCGCAGATTGTTCATATAGATAAAATATAGAATAAAAATAAAATAGTTATCATTATTGTATATGTATTTATACGTAAATGTAGATTATTATATTTTATGCGTAAATGCACAATCCTGCATTTTACATCGCACCCAATACTTCACATCGCATTTTGTTTGAAATTAATCACTAATCCATTCAACAATGTCGCGTGAAATAATTATCACGGAAAATTGATACAAATATGTGGTGGCTTTCAATTATGAACAAAGTACATAAAATCTATTAATTTGCTATTTACATGATTTTTATATTCTTAGCAAAAGAAAATATCGTTAACGTGATACATCATTTGTAATTGTAATTTTAATTACATGAAAAGGTGAAAGCCATAGTGATGTAAGTTACTTAATTATGTCTTTGAGAAACAAAGGTTTTATTAGACTTGATTTTTATGATCTTTATTAGACATCTATTGTCAAGAAAGACGAATTATAACTTATTCATTTTTTCTTTCATGTAAATTGCACCAATGAGATAAAGTTAGTAAGTCAATAAAGTCTACACTACTCTATGGCTTTCATATATCACTCCAGGATATCAATCTAAAATTGGAATATTTATAATTTTTAAAAGAAATGTAGAAATATGTGCATAAATTAGTGTATAAATATAGATGTCTGTGAGTCGCCCGAATTCATAAGCACATATCCATTAAAAAAGGGCATTGGAGATAGATTTTATTTAATAATATCTCGTTTGTTAATAATGATTACCAGATAAAAAATTTTTTAGGATTTTTCGACTTATTTATCATTAAGGAATAGTTCTACTTAACTAGTCGCGAATTATAAAACACTGTATAGATAGACCTGTATATATTACAATATATTATATCATGTTACAATCAGTTAAGATAATTAAAATATATAATAAACAGGAAACGTTTTTTGTGGAAACGTGAGTTCGAAGTTCAAGAACACGCATAACAAGAAATATATTTATGCAATTAGATAATAATTAGATAATAATTAATTAAGTGGGACATTCCATGTGAAAGTGAAACGTGACCATATATGTGTACCACGTACTCATTTTCGAAAACGTTCCGGATTTTTACGAAACTTACTGATGTTGATGGGTTTAAGAATGCAATCTGTGTGTGTGTGTGTGTGTGTTGTGCTACGTTATAGACTTTTAGTCCAGCTAGTTTAGTAGCTGCAAAAGGAAGAAATTTTGCGATTTGTCATCGTTGATATCTTTCTAGATTTTTTCAGATGGAAAGTAGAATTAATAAAATGAAGTTAATGTCGTTTCCTACAGAAAAAAAACTGCTCTTTCACGTGACATCCTATTTTGAGTACTCTTCATTATCATTTCCGTTCAATTGTTTAAAATTTTTTAAATCGCACCATAATCAGGCCAGTACCGGTTTTTGTTTTTAATAGCTCTAAATATAGTATTATATGGCGATTTTAATCGTATGAAACCGCATTCTGGGAAGCCCAGCCATTTTCAAGATATAATTTCAGAAAGACAGCGAAGACAGAACAAAGTGCGATTATATTTCAAAATTCTGCCAGCGCGGAAAATCTACAGTGTACGTCACGTATACTATACATTTTCAGGCAATGAATTTTAGAACACAGCTTATGTCGACTACTCGATTACGCGCATTTGCGCCGCTAGCGTTTTTCAAGAATTCCAAGTGTAATATATCAACAAACAATTTCATTGCAGCGAAAAATTTAAAGTTATTTGACATTGCTGAAGCATGGCACTGCGTAAATCGATCTTAAAATTTCATTGCGATCTTGTTTCACGTGTTATGCTTGGTCTGTGCTGAATTAGCTAGTGTTTCATATGATAACAAAAATAATCGCAAAAAAAAATTGTGAAATTGAAGCATTTAAGTAAGTATTCTTTTCTATTGTTTTCTGTTTGGATACAATTATCGAAATGCGACATTTTACTGCTGCTTATCACCAATGTAAACGAATATATAAAGTAACGAGATGGAAAAGTACAGCAACAGTTAGGAATAACTATCAATCTTGATACAGGCTCCAACGAATAAATCCAAAGATAGATGTAAATCAGCCAATGTGAGCCAGGTTAGACGTGTGTGAAATCGTATACTTTATTTTTGAAAAAAATTGACAAACGTTTCGACCTTTTCGATTGAGTCTTCCTCAGTGTAAAAATAAAAATAAAATCGGTGACGTATAAATTTAATATAAAAGATGCGATATGAAGCAAATTGAAGTATCGTTAATATATATTCATAAAATGATAAATAAATTTCTAAATCGATTATATCAAGATCTATTGTATTTAAAAAAATTTGATATTTCCATGTTTTATTTCTCTAATTTATTGTATAAAACATGTATATTGTATTTATTTATTACTATTTTATATCTATGACTGAACGATAATTGATTTTGACTTCTCACATATTCTTTGAACGCCTTTGTGCTAATATCTCACATATTATCGTTAATTTTATTATACGTAAGTTTTTTGTTCAATTAATTTGATTTATATTTTAATGATTTATTCGACTTTGTTAAATTACAGATAATCTGAAATGTTGTAGATTTGAGTATTTTGTTAAATACGACAGACAGCATTATTGTCATTTTATGAATATATATTAACAACACACGATACTTTAATTTGCTTCGCATCGCATCTTTTATGTTAAATTTATATATCATCGATTTTATTTTTATTTTTACTGAGGAAGACCCAACCGAAAGAATTGAAACGTTTGTCAATTTTTCACAAGAATAAAATATATGATTTCACACATGCCTTGTGTTGACTCACATTGCTGATTTACATTTAGCTTTGAAGTTAGGAATGATTAAATATTATAATTATACCCAAATAGAAAGTAGGAAAGAATACTTTAAATACTTCAATAAGGACTTCACAATTTTTTCATATTTTTGAAAATGGATGGTTCACTTTTACATGAAATGCCCCATATATAATACATATATAATGTTTCTTTTACATGATTTAATTCCTATAGAATCAAACTTGTATTCTTTTTATTTTATTTTATTTAATATTTTTTTCCTAACAAAGAATTGCAAGACAAGCAATTTTATATGATTATTTTTTGTTTTTCAATTATTTAAACAAAAGTTATGCTCAATTACAAACGCTTGTCAATAAAGAAAACTATAAAATATATTTAAAAAGTCATATCTCGAAAACTGACAGTGATAAAAATCTAACAAAAAGTAATTAAATATGTATTTTAATCCAAGAAATTATGAATATTTTAAAAATCAGCAAAAAATCAAAGATCGGTGACGAAGGCCGTTCGACTTAGCGTGAAATGCTGTATATGTATAAAATAGGCATCGAAATCAAATTAAGAAAGTAAAAAAGTATTATGCGTATATTATACGCATATAACAAATTTCTTATGCTTACATAGAAAAAATAGTTTTGCTAGTATATCTAATAATTTAACTAGATAGATCTCTGAAAATAATTTTTTTAACCATCAAAATAATTATGTAAGGCGCTCAAATATAATGAATAATGCTGTGAATAATTTTAATATTTTAACTAACTTAATTTAAGTATTCTATATAATTATTTTGATGATTTAACAAAATTATTTTTAGATCTATATCTAACTAAATTTTTAGATAATTTAGCAAAATCGTTCTTTCCGTGTATATCCTTGAACTTACACATTATTGTCTAAAGAAGACATCCTGTTATATAATTATCTTAACTAGTTACAACATTAATAGAAATTGGATAAATTTGACCACGAATGTCAGGAATAGTTACATCTTATAATATCTTTTCGTAGTAGTGATGTAACAGTACGTTAATGATTTACGTGGTCTATATTCTCTAAGACTTTTATATATATATATATATATAGTCCCTTCGGATTGCATTTACCTCACTTTTACCTTGTTCTTGCAATGTACGATTATCTATGACCTTCAAACGACTAGCGAGTAATGAATTCACTTTAAAATAATTATAGCTCTTCGAGAAAGTTAGAACTCAAAGAGGATTGTCAGCGCTTGAGAAAGCAGTAACGGCCATTAACGGAGATGTGGCATTGCCGGGACTTGGATTATCACCGGAAGACAGGAAAATACTTATCGAGAATGTTAACATCGTGTATCATGGAGCAGCTACTGTCAGGTATTGATAATGAAAAGAAGTATGTCGTTGCTTCTAATTCGATTTTGAAACAATTTTAGATTTGATTATGTTATAAATTTAAAGTATTTAAACTATTATTTCTTTAATAAAAAAAATGCAGTTTTAAAAATATTTAGTAAGCAAAATGTTTAGCGATTTGCAGAGTCCAGTATTGCTCTAAATTGGTTCACATTAAACCTCTGTAACCGTTAGCAGACATAATCTAACAGCAAAAACCGAGGAAAATGTGTCATTTCGTAATCATTTAAATGGAATATGTCACATTAAATGGTTACGAAACGATAGATCCTGCGTTTGATAGATTTCTGCGATCAATCTGTCGTCTCATTCCGTTAACAAATTCTGTTATATTTTCGCTGGCATTTTCCGCTTGGCAAATAAAATTTGTAGCGAACACTTTTCTGTTTCTAAAAAATCTACATAAACCTATTATTTTTTTGGTTTACATTCTGTATTTCGTAAATTTCATGACTGTATAGATTATGAAAATATCTTGAAGACTCATTTAAATCACCTTGATAAAAAAAATTCTTATATTTTAAAAAATTTTTCATATTTTAGATTTATAAAAATGTTTAAAAAAATCTCAAATTTTTTCAAATTTTATAAATTTAGGAAATACCTTCCCTGATAGTCTGTAAAAACTCGTAAAAGGTACGTGAAATAAAAATAAGCTACGCATGCGCATTAAATAAACGTTAGTGAACGTATTTCACATGCCTTTTACTATTTACTGACTATCAGAAAAGGAAAGTTAGTTTTCTTCCATTTTTATAATTGTTTCAAAACAATCTCATTTTGTTTTACTCAAATTCTCTCTTTATATATAAAGAGCAAAAACTTCAATGTACTATTTCTCACTTATAACGTCATAATTCATTATGATCGAGCAATTACTCAGGAACAAGGTTGGGCTGCGAGTAGTTTCTCACGTATAATACGTATGTATAATATCATGGGCATCCGCAAGATTTTTTCTAAGGGGGAAGGGGAAGGGATACTCTTGCTATACGTAAGGAAAAAATATTCAAATATTTCCTTCCTTGGTGACCCTATAATTCCTATTTCGAATTGATGACCTTTTTTGTTACTTATTCATTTCTAATGTATACACCTTTAAATTAAAAGACTTCCTTATCATAAAGTAGATGTATGCTGAGGAAGGTATTTCGTTTTTTGGGTTTTTTATTTTTTTTGTATTTTTGTATTTTAAAACTTTTTGTTATTCTTATTTTTTAGCACTTATTAATTTTACATTTTTTTCTTAAAAAAAAAACTAATTTCCTCTCGTCCTGCCCAAATTTATCTATCACTATATTATCTAATCGCTCTAAAACGCGCTTTTATTCAATACGCGTCTCTTGATCAGAGGAGGACAAACGTCCTCCTTTGCCTTCCCCCTCTGAACGCCTACGTATAATATGTATAATATGTATAAAACGTATATACAAGATTTTCAGTACTAGTAAATTTTGGAACAGTTTTAGAAAGCCGGATTTGACGATTCCTTTAAAAATTTGATTCTAAGCACATTTTTTGTAAATAACAAATAGAAAGAAGCAAAACGTATATATATACAGGATGCGTCACCAAAATCCGGACAAAAATCGAACAATTCCTTGTCGTAGCAGCCTCAGACAGCCTCTTTAATGTGTACGATTTGTATCGAAGGTCCTCCTCGGCAATTCGACGCATTGTTGGCTCGCTTACACCAACAATCGATGCTAATTTTCGCAACGATTGCCTTGGGTCATCCGAAATCAGCGTTTGAGCCCTTTCAACGACTGCAGGGATCCTCGCGGTGCGTTCTTTCGAGTGACTCTTCCTCGCTGGCATACTGGAACCTTCGTTGGACTGTTCTAAAGCCGTATATTTTGCCACAACGTCATAAACAGTGGATCTCGGGTTCCAAAGAACCGAATTATTTCCGTTGCTAAGCGCCCGGCGCGAAGGTATATATATAATTAACATTTTAATAAAAATTCCATTAATTTATTAACATTTAAAGTTATCAAACTTGTAAATAAAATCGAAAAATATATACGAATGCAATATTAGATAGAATGAAATCAAATTGGCCTTCAACAGTCCTTCTAGATAGACAATTAAATAAAAAATAGTAAAAATTTTAAACAGGAACCTTAATATTAAAAGTCTAAGTTTTTTGTAGCGTTTTTAATAATTATATTTTATATATTTTTTATAATACATTTGAATACATTTTTAAAATATACATATTAATACATGTCTGTGAAATGAAATTTATGCCGAGAACAAAAAATTTTGAAATTTTGATATTTTAAGAAAAATTGTTTTGTCATTTTCGGCATAAACTCATTAAATGCATACATTTTAATCCTGGAAAAGAATTTTCGAATCTCTATAAAAGAAGAAAAAAGTAATTGTTATACAAAAATTATGATTTAATCAGCAATACAGACTTTAAGATTCTCTTTAAGGATTTAATTTCCTAGTTGTGTATTTAGCTATTTATATTACGGTCTCAAAAGATACTTTATTTAAAATAAATTGAGAATGTTTTGAAAAGTTATGCAATTCATAGAAATTCTGAAAAATTATATGAAGAATCCTTAATTAAAAAAATTCTTATACCTCAAAACGATCTTAAACATTTTTTTATATTTTAATATTCATAAAGATTTTAAAAAATATTTTTAATTTCTTCAGTATTTTATACATTTTCTTCGGAAATTTTAGAATATTAAAATATATTTGTTACTTTTCAAATTTCACATACTTAAAGAATTTTAGAAAACATATGGAACATATACTCGAAAATCTGAAGTGTCCCAATTAATATAATATAAACGTAATTCTGAAGTGTTCTAATTAATATAAAAAAATTTAAGAAATTTTCTATAGTTATAAAATTTAAGTAGAAACGAAATATGAAACTATATGTGAGGAATTTTAAAAGAATTTTTCACCAGAACAGTGTTGCTTTACAATTAGATCGACTATATATAATTGTCATAAACATGATTTATTCGACCACTAAATGATTAATGATATTCGATGATAATCTTCTTGCAGATTCGATGAACTGTTAAAGAGAGCTGTACTACTAAATACACGTGGTACGAAACTGATGATAGAGCTAGCCAAAGAAATGAAGCATTTACTTGTGTTTCTTCATATCAGCACGGCCTATTGCCATCTCGAAGAACAGGTAAGTAGTTTCTATACGCATGTCCGGATGCTCAGAAAATACTAAATAAGAACTGACTTTGATAGATTTTGCGCGAGAAAACGTATCCTCCGCCTGCGGATCCTCATCAAGTCATCAAATGCGTCGAATGGATGGACGATGACGTAGTCGAGGCAATGACGGACAAAATCTTAGGGAAATTACCTAATACTTACGCTTTCACTAAAGCATTATCGGAGAGTCTTGTCGAAGAATCTATGTCACACATCCCAGCGATAATTTTGAGGTATCAACAAGAAGGTCTCGTTCAAATTCATAAATAATGAATGATAAATATCTCCATCACAATTTTATCATTTGATAATACTCTTAAGGCTTTCACGAGCACTTTCTATATAGAAATGCATTTCGCGAGTTATCTCCGTATCCAAATTCATTCTTAGAATGAAAATTTCGTGAAAATTGCAGTTCACAAAATGCATTCTAAGAATGCATTCTAAGAATAGATTTGAATACGGAGATAACCCGCAAATTTTATCATTTGTTAGACCGAGCGTAATTATTCCTATCTGGAAGGAACCGATACCCGGATGGACAGACAATATCAATGGACCTACCGGTCTTTTGATCGGCGCTGGCAAAGGAGTAATCAGAACAATGTTCTGTAATGAAAACGGTTACGCTGACTATTTACCTGTCGATATTGCCGTTAATGGTCTTCTCCTTGCTACATGGAATTTTATTTACTTCAAAGACGAAAAACATGTTTTTAATATGACGAGTAGTGCCGAGATTAAAGTAAATAGAAAATAATAAATATCTGTTATATGCATTTTTTAACAATATCGAAATGAGATTTTTATCCTTGTCTACAGATTACCTGGGCAGAAATAATTAAACGCGGCCGAAAGATAACGGAAAGGATACCTCTGAATGGAGTCGCCTGGTATCCAGGTGGTAGCTTAAAAAAATCACGATTAATGCACAATATTTGTATATTGTTCTTTCACATGATTCCCGCTTATATTATCGATGCATTTCTTTTTTTGGCAGGATATAAACCGATGTAAGTCGCTACGAGAACTTAAATCAATATACAAAGAGTATTTACATAAGTTCATTCATTTTGTTCATATATACTTGTTTATCACAGCATGTGTCACATACAACGCCGTATAAACAAAGGATTTGAAGTTTTTGAATATTATGCAAATAATCAATGGGACTTCGAAAACAAGTACGTTGAAGAATTACGGGAAAAGATTAACAGCACGGAATGTAAAAACTATCAAGTGCACGGCAATGACCTGGATATAGATAAATACTTTGAAGATTGCATTCGAGCCGCTAGAATTTATATCTTAAAAGAGATGCCAGAAACGCTGCCTGCTGCTCGTCGACATTTGAGAGTGTAAGTTGAAATCGTATGAGGAAAAATTATTTTTTTCTATATATTCAATGTCTTTTCTTTGTTCCAGTATGTACTGGGTGGATGTATTCACTAAGATACTTTTCTTTGTGTTTATTATATACCTCCTAGCTTCCTGGAGTGAAAGTTTTAGAACGTTGCTTTCGCGCAGTATAACGTATATTATAAAACTAATGAATTTATAATTTAATTAAATAGAATTGTTCTTATCCGATCAAGCTTATCGATCCAATCGTTAATTCATTTAATCTCAAGGACGCGATAGGGGTTAAGTATATAGTGGTAACTTGTGGCACATACTGCAACCTGTAGTGTGAACTAAATACGGGTAAAAAAAATGTGAATAAAGGTGTTATTTACACAATCTTCTGATTTTTATTTTTATGAAAGATTTTAAAACACTCATCTTCAAACAGACTCTTGTACTGGTGGTTCATAACCTTCTGGTCTGTCTATCTTAGAACCACTGTCTCCGGCCTCTTCACTCTTGTTACCACCTCCATCTCCGTGCAACTCCAATAATTTGCTAAGCTCGAAGCGTGGTTTCTTCAATACTTTTACCTAATAAAATTATATCCTCTTACTTACTGGTACTCTTAACATTCTATTAACGTTATTAAGGATCAACAAGAGCGACGGGTTAATTCTAAACTTATTATATACATTGTGCTCACAGTGAAGATGCGTATCTGTATCTATCATACAGAAGTCATATGCCATGAGATATTTTTGGCTGATATTTTACGAAATTGCAAAATCTGCTAAAGAGCTTTTGCAATTTAGTCTTTAAAATATTATAATAAATAAAATTATCTGTACTTCAATTACACTAGTGCAGATCGAATAAGATATCAAAACAAAATTTTATTTTGTTCTTTTTTTAATATCGCTTTCTAGTGGATTGCAGATAATTATTTTGATTTATCAAAATATCGCATTTGCAATACAAAAATTGAGAGATCACATTCCTATTGACCCTTAATATTTATAAAAAGTGGTCGTATTTTATTTTTGCATTTATATCTATATCGTTATTATTTACCTTACGAATATAAACATCGTGCAGAGGATAAATTCCTTGCGAAGCCTTCTCGATATCCTTCGCTGTAGCATCCGGAAGCAGTTTACTAACCACGCCTTTCAAGTCGGTTTTGGTAACATCTTCCGTAATGGTTTCAACCATCTTTTGTCTAATTTTCTTTACCTAAATTAAGAACCATATTATAGAGAGAAATATATAGACATATATATAGACGAGAAATTATAATATAATACTTTTGAGGCTTTTACAGGTTTTTCTTCAGAGATACCAAATGATTTGCGAATTATCACCGTGTCGTAATCCATATTAATGCCAACGTTTCGTGAACTTTGCCATTCACCTCATTACTTGCCCTGATGAAGTAAATAGTAAAGGTATTAGCAATGGATCGTGACACTGCGATAATCTGCCTTTGGCATCTCAAAGGAGAAATGATATCATAGATGAAAAATTAAATAAAAAAATAATAGAAGGCTTCTCTAGCAAAACAAATAAAAATTATGGAAAATTAATGTTATATAAACAGTATCAATAAAACACAACTAATTTATAACTAGCTTGAAATTTATGTATTAACATTTTATATGTTATTATATAGATAGAAATTGACCCCTTTTTAACATTCTCCTTTAAGCGCATTCGATTCACTTTGAAGTTATGTTCAGAAAACCTAAATACTTTCAGAAAGTAAAAAGAATATCCTGTGAATGAAGACATTTATATTGAGACATAAATGTCTGCAATAAAATAAAAAAATCTTTAATTTATATTACATATATCATGTAGCATGTTCATATATCACTACTTACTGAAAATGAAAGTAGTGTGGTAAGAGACTGCATTAATATACGCAATATCTCCTTCCATTCAACTATTGAGAAAGTTAAAATGGATAATGGAATTGCATATAACATGGGACAAATAATTCACTGGAATACAAACCTGCGCATGCTGGGCATAACATGTCTTCCTCGTGCTCAGCTGATCCTTATTTGTAAAACCAATACAGAAAACTCGAAGTAGATAGCCATCTGTGGTCTTCACATCCACATTAGCTTCGATCAAAGTTTGCCATTTTTTTACCATTGATCTAAGTTTATCCGTTGTCAAATCCATCCCATGGAAATTGGTTAATACGTTACGACCTTGAACATCTTCGGCAATTAGTCTGAATTTTCGGAAGGACCTCTCTGCATCTTGATCGCTTTGCAAGTCAGCCAGAGACACTTCAAATACTCTGAACTTCAATCCCTCAGAAGCGATCTCTGCAGAATGAAATAAATATCTTGTAACAATTATTAACATATTTGTTATATAACATAGCTATAAGTATTAGTAAATAATATTAAACTTTCAATTTATGCCATGTCAATCATTAACTTAACCATATGCAATTACTTATATTTCTAAAATGAACGAGGTTTAATAAAAATAGAAAGATATAAAAAGTATACTGTAAGTAAACAGATAAATATTTGTATTTATTATAATTAATTCGCATTTTGTGGCACATATTACAAAATAATTCATTTGACGTGAGTCACAATAGACAGTAAATGTGTACATGCGAGATAATTATGAAAATTAAAGAGGCATAAAACAAGCTATATGCAACATATAATTTACATACAAAAAGTTATTTTATTTTAATTAGAAAGCTTAACGAAAAGAAATCTTACTTGTTCCTTGAGTTCTGTTAACCAAAGTTTTTCCAACCTGCCGATTGGCAAACATAGATGGTGCTTTAACATCATACCAGTCCTTGCGAGTAAAAGGATCCACACTGAAATAATAGCACTTACATGAGAAAACATTTATGCAAGAAATGATTTAATAAATTTACAATTTCCTATCTTATAATTTTATGTATATGTACATATATATTAGGTGTTGGAATAAATTCGTAGCGTTTTACAAGTGATGGGAAGTACTTTCATTAATGTATTTTTTAATGCTCATGTGAAATAAATAACATTCTTTCATTAAAAACGCTACGAATTAATTCCAACACCTAATATATTATACATATACATATAATATATATTAACAGCGAGTACACATATCCATATATATATATACATATATATATATATATATATATATATACACATATATGTATATACAGAATATCCCATTATAAACGATCTCAAATATCTTTTAAACAGATTTTAGAGAAAAATGTTTCAGATAAAAGTAGAACGGTTTCGAGGTAGATGTATTTTAGTCACATTGTTTTTTCTAGGTAGAGATGCCAAAAAAATATAAAAGTCACTTCTACTTTTGTAAATGGACACATGACTTTTTTACATGATATGATTCTTCTATGATTATTCTGCATGTAAAAATAAAATAGAAATATAATTGATGATAATTTAGGATGCTTTCAATTTAACCTAAAGTTATATATAATATAATTATTAATGCCTTATCTACATATAACATTAGAAAGATTATCATTCTTTCTGGAGAAAAAAACTCTCAATTTTTATAATAAGAATCCTTCACATCTTAAATTAAAAAGATTTCTTTAAAAATACCTAAAACTTATTCAAATTTTATACATTTTTTTCTAATATTATAGAAAGAGAAATCTTAAAATATTTTAAGCGTATATAAGAATTCATAAAATTCTAAAAACACAATGTCGCTAGGACTATGGAAAACAGAAAAATAAACTCATTTGTTCAGGCAATCAATAGAAACTATAACTTAATTAATATTAAATAATTAAACAAATACAATATATATTCCAAAATTTAAAAATACAATGGTTCATTTCCTTATCAGTTTAAATAACTTATACATGAAGTTGATTAAGTTAGGATTCGTGTGAGTGAAAATCTCGCACAGTGGATGACTTATAACATAATTTTTAACGCATGTGACAATCAGATTATTGGCGTTGTTTGAAATATCCAAAAATGTTGGTACTTAAAATATTATAGTACAAATTTATACCTTAAAAAGAAAGAAAACAAAGATGTTGAATGAAAACAGTGCTAACAACGCGAACAGGCATTTAAAAAATAGATAAGATGCGATTACGTTATTATATCGAGTTAAAAAAAAATAATGCAGTAGTATAGCAATATTCGTAACAGCATATATGCAGCATCGTCGCACGCGCTCAGCAGGCACACAAGTATCCAACATAACCAAAGGCATCACATAAAATAATAACTCGATGAGAAATTCTTTGTGAACATAAAAGATCCGGCTACAATTAAGATACGAAATATTTTACTTACATCTTCTTCTTCACGCCCTTCTTGCCACCTTTCGAAAGACCTTTATTCTTGCCTACCGCCATGATTGCGTATCACAGGCAAAAAGAAACACTCCCAAGTCCCAAATCGTCAATACCGTCAAGCGGAAACACACTGTTGGCCACTGGTGCTTAGTGAATGACAGTGGGTGCATTACTAGTAACTTTCTATTGAATTACAATATTTTAATCTAGGTAATGTAAACATATACATAATATGTGTATTTAATTAATCATTTTGATGCATATTGTATCACTTTAATATATTATTTTTTAAATACGTTGCTGAAATTAACATAATTTAATAGAAAGTTACTAGTTAATACGCATATCAAGCGCTCGATATAAAAAGGTGTAAACTTTTTTTCCTAGAAAGTACAAGTGTGTATAGTAATTTTGTGTAGTTTGAGAACAACCTAGCACTTTCTCAATATAAGGAACTACGTTCTCAATACCTCACTAGCGCAGCGAGTGTAGAAAGCCTAGGGATTTTGTAGGTTGCGAGTTGCCTACAAGCGTCAGAGAAAAATAAGAAGTTAGATAGATTATGGCGCTCGTCCTGTACGGTCGTATTCATTCGTGTTCCAGCAATAAATTTCATCGTTATTAGTTACAAGAAAAGTGATCGATCTTTACACTTTCCATCATGTCATACAACAAGCGTGGGCTTGTCTTAAGAATCAGACTCGTCAATTGAGTCACATAATCCCACAACAATGAATCAGGCGCGACATCTGGTTTCTTAGAAAGGAGAAAAGATATTGGGTGTCAGCACTGTAAAGAATAATGTAGATCCCCGCGAAAAAGGAAAGTCCTTCGTCACGGGCTATGCTCCAATCTTGATATTCAATCTCATTTTCAAAGTAATATTTAAAGTAATATTCAGAATAATATACGAAGTAATTCGATATTCGGAGCCGTTGAAACTTGGAGTGGTCAGTAAGTGATTTCGCTGATAGTTCGTTGATATATCGTATAATAAATCGGAGTAATGGCGAAAAAAGAGAGAACACACACACACACGTATATAATAATTCATTAGAACATTTTTGAAAGT